GTTCTAGCTTGCTTCCAACCACTTTTTGTGAAAGATCTTGACTTGATAAATATGTTTTGAAGTTATAAAATATGTCAAAGATCTTTCCCATGGATTTTCCAAATTTCTTTCAAATATATAAAGGTTATGATTATGCAATTCGAAAAACACGTTTACTTTGAGAAAAACTTTGAGCTCATGCAATGCAATCTACCATATACATTGACATCTATTCTAAATATAATTTTAAATTTAGCTTCATGTCTTATGTCTTGAATTTTTACTTGAGCTTGATGCTTTGATTTGTTGGATATGATAATGCTTGACACTTTGTTGGTTTTGATCATTTTTTTTCATGGTTATGATATTGAGCTTCTATTAAATGTTGTCTATGATTTGTTGTCTTTGATCTTGGTATTGCTCTTCTAATTATTTCTTGTTACTCTTGATCCAATGATCTTGTTACTTTGATATGTCATCACTCTTCTTGTGTGGCTACATCATACATCTTCAATATCCACGTATGGTTGATGCTTTTTGCTCTTGATTAATACTCTTCTTTTTTTGTTGTTATCATTATGTTATCATCAAAACATACATTGTATCTACACTTTATCCACAATATTAAAGATTTTTTTTTGGAAACATACAATATTAAAGATTTTTTTTTTGGAAACATACAATATTAAAGGTTAAACATTGTACAGTTTAATGTAATTTTTAAAGTAAGATTTATATTTTTTTTTCAAATTTTAAATTTGCCCCAAGTCCAATTAATTTCATATTTGTCATTGTTACCACGTTGTCACCATCACGCCTCCTCCACCATTATCACTATCATTGTTGCTATCACTCAATCACGACCACTACTACGACTACATGTTATTGTTATTGTCACCACCATCCCCATCACCAGATGTTTCTATATTCGTAGCACCAAAAAACTATTAACTTTTGCATATCCTTTAATTAATTTTATACATAAAAATATTTTTTAATTTTAACATATAATTAATATTTTTTAGTTAAAACTATTTTCATTGCTACGTTCAAATGCAAAATTATTTTAACTTTTAAATAAATCGTTTGAAAAAAAAAGGCATAAAGAATTTTTTTTAACAAAATTTCATCCCAACGACCCTTGCTAGAAATCATGATTTGGTTATTAGTGATTCAGTTCAGTTTATTTCTAACTTCTAAGGTTGTTTGGCAGTGGTGGAGCCAAGATTTAATTTTAGTAGATGCCAAAAAATTTGACATATCAAATTATCATAATATTTATCGTAATATGTTTAGGATATATATTATTCACTTAAAGACATATTTTGAGATCATGATTTGTAACACTAATTTTCAAAGTAATAGGATTGATGTTATTTTAACAAATAATAAATATTTATTTAAAATTTAAAATATATTATAAATTTAAGCTAGTAAAGAAAGTGCAAATTATATGTATATGAAAATTTTCATATAATTATTATGAACATTTTCATGTGATTTATATGAACATTATTTCATGTGATTTTTATGAACATTATTTCATGTGATGTTAATGAAATTTATTTCATGTGATTTTGTGAATGATATGGTGGCATGTAAAAGCCTTGCATCTTGGTTTTCTTTAGTGTTGGCAAAACGGGCCAACTTGGCTCGACCCGGCCCAACCCGTTTGTAACCCGAAAAAATGAGCTGGGCCAGGGTTGGCTCGAGAAAAAAAAAAGTCGGTTACCAACCCAATCCAACCTGAGCCGGGTTAGGGTTGGCTCGCGGGTTGACTCGAAAAATTAGAGAGAAAAAATTTCAAGAGATGCCGAGGTTAGGACTCCATGCCTTCTACTCTATTCTCCGGTGCGGTATCTAGTTAAGCGGAGATGGAACCTTGTGCTTCTAAAATACCAAACACCGATGACATCAAATTATAGCTATAAGAGGGTACGAAGGAAGATGAGTAGGAATAATGTGTGAAACAAAAGTTATAGCTATAAGAGGGTATGAAACAAAATCGCTTCTTTATCTCGATCTTTGTCTGTTTGCTCATTTATTTGTTTGTAATATCGCAAGAGCTTGCTTGTTCGGTTTTGTTTCCTCGCTCTCACACGAGATGCCGGTGAGGAACTAGACCATTAAGTTGTAAAAAAGTAAAAGAAGAGAGAGAGGAAGGAAGAAAGGAGGGGTGTTCTTTTATTTTATATTTTTAATAATAAAAAAAAAAGACAACCCAGCTCATCTGTTTGACCCGTGAGTTAGCCCGTTTGACACGTGAGTGGCTCGATTTTTTTTAAACTGACTCGAGTTGTCAGTTCATTTTTACCCATTCAATCCGACTCATTTTATGTGAGTTATGAGCCAACCCGACGGATTTATTCATTTTTGCCATCCTAATTTTCTTCGAAAGGTGGAGAAACATAGGCCATGGCTGAGTTGAGAAAAAAAAAACTTTCTTTAATAGAATTTGAAAGTCTTAACATATGGGAATTGTAACAAAGGAAAACTAAAGGGTTATGGATGAAAGAAGCATAACAAAAAAAAATCAGAAACCAAGGGATAACAGAAGAGAAAATCATACTTGTGACCTTATGGAAAGACAGAGATGGGGCAAATTCAAAAACTAGTGAAGATAAAATTCTAGATTTGAGAATATTAACAAACTTTCAAGTGATACATTTGAGTAAAATTTGAAGTTTTAAATTTCAATAGTTTTTCCGGAATGAGAGATTATCTCAATCTTCTTTGCTATAAATTATTATTGTTGGTTAAGTTAACAAAAAATCTAATAGCTTATGGCTATTAAGTTAACAAGATTGAGAGATATGATGCAATTAATCAAATATTGTTGAGCACGTAAGAGCATATTTGTTAAAATCTTGATTTATCACTACGATTTTACATTTATATAATTTTTTTTCGAGCACATAAGAGCATAGTTGTTAAAATCTTGATTTATCACTACGATTCTACGTTTATACAATTTTTTTTCATCAAAACGATTTTACCAATATTTCAAACGCTTTTACGTTTTTACGATCTTTTACATTTTTTTACATTACGATTTTACGTTTTACGATTTTTTAGTCTCCTTCCAATTTTACTTAAAATCTCGATTTTAATAATATTGCCTAAGAGAATGTATGTACAGCAAATTTAATTTAAGTTACATTTTAATTTAACATACTAAAATTTAAAGATGAATGAGTCTTTATTTGTTTTCTTTAAAAATAGACTCACTTTAACCTAACTTTTTTATTTTCGTTTTTGACAATAATTGTAACTTATCCTTATTACCAGATGGAAAAAAGAGAGTCAAATGTTGAAGAATTGGACATATTTCAAGTAGCTACAGAGGGTAAGTATTTGAGTAAATTTATAGGTGTAACTCGTTCTTAATTATCACCAAAAGCAAAAAGATAAAAAGATAATAATAATCGGATATTGAGAGCTGGAGCAATATATAATGACGACTCTATAGTGGACTTAATTTTCATAGATATATTAGTCGACTCGGGTTAGATTGTTCGATAAATAATTTTTCAAATTTGAGTTTGTTTCAATATTATTAGTACTTTATAGTTGTTATACTCACACAGAAAAAAAAGTATAATTATAAATACTTAGCTTCCGTGGAAGTAACAATTCAATAACACTCCATTTTCTAAAAGTAATAACAATTCAGTAACACCAAGAAACAATTCAATTTCATTACTAATAGTAATTATAGTTCTATATTAAAATAATTTTTTTTTTAAAAAAGGTAAACATAAAACAACACTCTATTTTTTAAATGAAATAAAATCAATGAATACAATCACACAAAAAAAGTTATAATTAAAAAAAAGGGGCATGAATTTCACTCATCTTTGAAAGACCCAATAAATAATGATGGTCAACAAAGACAAAAAATTTCTCTTTTATAATGTTCAAAATGTAAATCGATTTTTTTTCCAGCGGACAATATAATTACTAATACATATTCCAAGAACATGTATCCATTAAATCTTGAGAAAGGAATGAAACATTGTATCTTGTCGTAGAATGATTGGGTTCCGAGTAGTGAGTCGAATAAAAAAAAAGTAAGAAGAAAACCCTAATTGAGAAAGATGAAAAAGAAGAAATTAAGAAAAAAGCAATACGTTATCACACGTAAAACAGCTCCAAATCTTCATCTAATACCATTGTTACAATTTAACTAGGACCAACTTACAATTTTAGTTAGAGTGCAGTTATAATTATTTATATAATTATATATAATAAATAAAATTTGCTGAATATAACTGGAAGACCCTACCTAAATAAAAGATGGCTGCCCCAAATGTTTGGTTAACAGGATATTCTTGCCATTCTCTATTTACCGTATTACAGATTTTTTTTTTTTTTTTTTTTTGGAAACAGTAATACAGTATTAAAGATTTTAAAATTTGAACTGCCTCATCCAGTAGAGTGAAATATTTCAAATTAACGATTTATTTAATTTGATTGGGCTGACCAAGATCGAGTGGTTTTTAAAACTAACAATTCTAATTTAAAAGAAAATTTAAAATAAAAAAATACTCTACTAAAGAACATATGTAAACCAAAAAGTTAATAATAAAATTATCCAAAAAAAAAAACCATCACCTACTAGAAAGTGTATGATTTTTGTGATTCAATTCACTCTAGTTCTAAAGTTTGGTTTAGTTCATAAGATTTCTTTTTTGCCTACCCCTATCTAGACTATTGAAGATTTTAAGCATTGAACTGGTTTACTATGGTTTCTAAAACTAATGATTCTTCCTCCCATAATCAAACTTTCTCTATAAAAAAAAAACAAACAAACTAATGATTCTAATTTGAAATAACAAAACAACAAATGAAAGGACATGTGTGAATAACAATATCCAATAAAAGAAAAATCAAGCATTAACAAACAAACAAACAAAAATGCCAAAACGATACCATAAAGCTTAAAAATTCGTAAACAGCCAAACTAGAAGCAATGGAAAAAGGACACAAACCAAAAGGCATGAACTATGACTAGTAATAATCTAGGTGTCGAAGGGTCCCTCTGGATTGAGTTGTTTGCATAACCCCATATAAGTCAGATAAAGCACACGATCTTTGGCTCCAGTTCTGTGAAGATTTGCATGCTTGCAGAAATACTTCAAATGTGCAAGGGTGCAACATCCAAGCATTTGGCCCAAAAGCAAGAAGAGCCAATTGATTGTTCTCTTCTTTGTAATCAGAGGCTTCAAACTATTTTCTTGGCCACAGAGCTTACAGATTGGGAGCACAGGACTCATCCAAGTACTTGGTGCCCGTTGGAACATGTTGGTCTTGGTCTCTTCAATAAATTGAGAAACATGATTGAACTTTTCTAGCAAATCAAATTCAATATCATATTGTTTATCGCAGCCTTTGCATTTCATTGTTCCAGGGATTGTCCTCATGCCATGTGATAACAAGTGGTCAAGACTATAAAGGGTGGCACGTTTTGTAGTAGCCCACGGGTATGGTGGTATTATTGTCTCACTCTTACGCTGATTCATTCCCCGAACCGGTTTCCTACGTGCACGTATCTGGTTAGAAGAGGGACCAGCTTCTTGTTCTTGATGTTCTTTCGATGGAAGATCAAATTCATGGAGTAGCATCAGCATTTCTTGATGGGGTTCTTGGGGTGATGAGAATGGATGCATTGGTGGTACTAATGGCTGTGACTGTTGTGGCTGTGGCATTGAAACTGGAGAGAGTGAAAGGGTAAGCCATGCATCTTCGTTTTCTTCCAAAGGTGGAGAAACACGGGTCATGGCTAAGTTGAGCAAAAAAAAAACTTTCTTTTATGGAATTTGAAAGTATGACGTATGAGAATTGTAACAAATGAAAACTAAAGAAGCTTTAGACTTTGGCTATGGAAGAAAAAGCATAACAAAAACATATATAGTCAAGAAATAACAGAGGAGAAAATCATATTTGTGGGCTTCTGGAAGGAAAGACAGAGATGAGGCAAATTTAAAAACTGATGAAGATAAATTCTGGATTTGAGAATATTAACAAACTTTCAACAGTTTTAAATTTGAAGTTTCAAAGTCTGATAAGTTTGACTAAAATTTGAAGTTTTAAATTTCAACAGTTTTCTTCGAGATTATCTCAATCTTCTTTGCTATAAATAATTTGTTACAGAAACTAATAGATATGATGCAATTAATCAAGTATTGTTGATCTCTTGAATATAATTCCAGAGCTTAAGCAGGCAGAAGTGAGCATGTAAGAGCGTATATACCGTTAATTTAATTTAAATTACATTTTAATTTTAACATACTAAAATTTAAAGATGAATGAATCTTTATTTGTTTTCTTTAAAATAGACTCACTTTAGCCTCCCTTTTTTATTTTCGTTTTTGACAATAATTGTAACTTATCCTTATTACCTGATGGAAAAAAAGAGTCAAATGTTGAAGAATTGGACATATTTCAAGTAGCTACAGAGGGTGAGTATTTGAGTGAATTTATAGGTGTAAATCGTTCTTATCACCAAAAACAAAAAGATATAAAGATAATAATAATCGGATATTGAGAGCTGGAGCAATAAATATTATATAATGACGACTCTATAGTTGACTTAATTGTCATAGATATATTAGTCGACTCGGGTTAGATTGTTCGACAAATAATTTTCAAAATTGAGTTTGTTTCAAGATTATATTAGTACTTTAAAGTATAGTTATACTTACCAAAAAAAAAATATATAATTATAAATACTTAGCTGCCGTGGAAGTAAAATGGGTAGACTGGGAATTCCGATTTTTATTTTTATTTTTTTTTGGAGGTACCGATTTATTTTCTGATGCAACAAAGAAAGAATAAATGTAAATACTTTTTTGAAAACCTATTAATCTTTCTTTTAAATTTATTTTATTTATAAAAAAGAGATCGCGAGAGTTGTTTATAATAGAATCGATTCCTACAGCTATTAAATACTGAACTCTATAATCTCGTCTCAAACGCGCATTGAGTAACAAATTCCTATTTTCATTCACATGAGGAGTGTTAATTCACAAATTTCTTTTTGAGCTAATGGTATAGATTAGATTTAAGTACACATTAGATTTTATTACCATATATTAAATTAGGGATTAATATTTTTCATGTTAGAGGAGATAATTTTATTTACTATACCATATATAAAGAAGGATATGAGATATGTGAAAAAAAAAGAGAGAAAAAAAAACAACAACCAAAATGCAATAAATTATTGTAGACTTTACCCAACAAAAGTAAATGCACTTTAAAAGTTATTGTGGTTGCAAATAGGGGTGTAAATGGACTAGGCCGGCCTACAGGAGCCTACGGCCTAGCCTATATTAGGTCAGACTTTGCCTATTATAAGTAGTAAAATAGAATAGGTCTGGGCTTTTAAAAAAACCTATTTAGAAAACAGGTCATAGGCTTTTTTGTACGCGTCGGGCCTACAGGCCAACCTATATCATATTATTTATTTAAAATATAATAAATAAAATTATTATTTAATAATTTTGAATAATAAAATAATATTATTTTAGTTATTCATTTAATTGTTGAATGTTTAATAGGCTTAAACAGGCTAACAAGCCTAGGTCAAAGCTTTTATTTTTTGAATATAGGTCAGGTCAGACTTGTAATTTGGAGCCTACACAAGCTAATAGGTCAGGCCATACCTAATATTTTTTACACAAACTTGACCTATTTAAGTCAAAGTCTAGCCTAGCCCAGCCCATTTACACCCCAAGTTGCAAACATTTAACCAGTATACAGTATACACTTCCTCATTCGCCATTTATTTGATCCATACAACCTCATTGTGAGTCACTAGAGTTCTATTTTGTAGCCATAAAAACTATAGCCGAAAGGTTTTCAAGTTCGTAACAAGACGAGCGTTATAAAGCAAGCACCAAGCAGGATGCCTCCAAGGAACAAAAACCAGTCATTATTACTATGGAAAGGGAGTTATATTTTATTCATTACACATTCTATGGCATTTGGTGCTATACTGTGGGTATAAAAGTTCTTGATTCTTTTTGAATAATAATACAAGAGAAAAATATTTCTATTTTTATTGTAAAAAATATTTCTTTGCTACACTAATACAAAAGTAAGGAGTTCCACTTTTTTTTTTCTCTTCTCTTTATAACATAACTCATTACTCTTATATGAGTTGAGCCGTAAAAACAGAAACATTAAATACATTTTACAACTTAAAAGCTTTACAAACAAAAGTTCTAAAGTTCATATTGGTACCACAACTGTTTATGAAAATGACAATATTTGGCTTGATGAACTACCTACATTTAAGTCCACATTATATATGGAAAGAGAGATAAAAATTGTTTGACTGCTTTATGGATGATTAAAAAATACATCTCAGGATTGCGTCAAAACGTTAAATACCTCCGAAGAAAAGAAAAGAAAATCATCGGTTTTGGGAAAGCACAAAGGTGAGTATAGTGGCAAAACCATGGGAAAATTAATAGGGAAATAATTTTTTTATGTTGTAAGAAAATAATTTTTTTATGTTGTATAAACAAAATTGCAAGTGAGACCCATCATAGGTAAGGAGAGAGAAAAAAAAGTGAAATTCATCCATCTTTTGTGTGTATAGAAAATTTAGTTATGTTATATAAAATGAGATAAATATAACTCAAATTAATATACGAGAATGGCCTAATCATGAAACTATTTTCTTTATCTTTGAGAGCAAGTCTTACTTTACGTGTGTGCCGGAAAAAAGGGTACACTATGGCTAGGTCACAAAACTCACAACTTTATATCTAAAGGAATATAATTGTGCTTCTTTGTAACAAATTATATTAATGTCACAACACAACTGTTGTCACCACGAAAAGGCGCATTAAATTTTCAGAAGGATTAATGACTTTTATTTTTTTTTTCAATATGATGAAGTACCTAAGTTCAAGGAAAATACTAGTATCATGTTATAGGAAACTAATATCTTATACTATAGACACTTTGATAATTATGATGTTATTTTTTCATTTTTTTTTATTTTTAATGACGGGTTTTACCACTTTGTATTTTAGCATAAAATATATTTTCTTCTATAACATGAGAGTAGACATGCAATTATATCAATAATATAAAAGTTTAATTTTTTTTCGGCTACAAAATTATGATATTAGCCGAAGGTTATTGTGCAATTTTTTATTTTTTATTTTCACTTGGTTAACATCAGGGTCGAATGTTTGGCAGATTTAAATATAGTAAATTTTTTCTAGAGAAATTAGACCCATCCTTAAAAAAAAAAAAAACAGGTTCCTTTTAACTCTTAATAGTTATCATCGCCTACAAAGCCACAGCTGCACTTGCTAACATTTCATTTACACTAATTAAATTACTACCCAATTCAGACTCAAAAGCATACAACAATGGCCTACTTTCCTCTTCAGTTAGATCAAATTTGTTTTCCTTGTTTCTGCGCTATCAGATTCAACTGCTGAAGCAGAGGCTGGCCAAAATTGTGCATTCTTCACCTTTGATATGCTTGCCAATACGCTCAATGGAATCACATCGCCAACTACTGTAACCTTCTTTGCCTTAAAGTCTATGTCGAAGGACGTAACTCCTGCCCATATGATTAACAATATAGGAAATGGCTTGAATGCTTATTTGTGAACAGAATAAAACAATAAAAAGGGCACATAAAAAAATGTTTTTTCACTTCAAAAAATCCAAGTCCTTTTACTGATTAATCTGAACTTTTTTAGGCTAAATATTCTTTAACACCATTCTACTAATGATTTGAACTAGAAAATTTTAAGAGAGAGGAGGTGACTTGCATACCTTTCATTCTAGAGAGATGTTTCCTCACCTTCCCTTCACAACCTTTACAGTGCAGAGAAACCCTCAATACCACAACCTGCAACAAAATCCATTCAAATCAAAATCAATAGCGTGTAAGTCCATAATATGCAAATATTACTGTATTGAAGTTGAGCATTGTTTCACTGTCAAGGGGTCCAATTTTGTTCGGTGCATATGCTAATATTGCTTAATCATTCCACAAACGCATGCTACCAAGCTTATTCCTGTTCATGAGTCATCATAATTAACCACTATCCATTATATTCCGATTAACAAGGGTTGGGGTAAAGAGAATGCTTCTACATGCAACTTTATCTTTACATATTTGCAAAGAGACTATTTTCCGAATTTGAAGCTAAAAAGAGAGCAACTTTATCACGGCAGGACACTCGACCTCATGAGTTATACCATAAACGAAAAAATTTGCTTGTATAATCAGATATAGTCTACTAGGAGTGGCTCCTTGACAAGAAACAAATGCATATAATTCAGGTTGGAGAATCCTATATAAGTATCCTAGTGCCATTTACATGGCCTCATAAATAGAGATAACTAACCTGGTTTGAGGAACCAGATTTTGGAGGAGAACAGCTAGAGGGTTTAGATGAATGGTTGATTTCATCTTGATGAACAACTTGAGCCTTTTCGTTATCAACCTTGGTTAAAGCCAAAACAGGATCATAATCTAATGCACCGACAGAGGAAGCAGTGTCACTGAGCAAATATCTTGATGAACCATGAGGAGTGATTATATCAGAATGAGGCCTCACCCAACTCCTCTGCGGAATACTATCAACTGGTTTAGAAGAGTAATTGTTGGTAATAAGTTTAGTGAGCTTTTCTGCTGCACTTTTCTTCTTCTTCTTCTGATCTTGACCCTTTGATGCATTTTTCTTTTTCTGTTCACTTGGCTTTGGGGTAGAGTTTTTCTTGGCCTTATGGAAAGGTTTGGGGACGATGGGTGGCTTAGAAGAAGAACTAGGGGCATTGAGATCTCTGGAGGGGGTTCTTCTTGAATCTGTGATGATGGGGTTGTGGCGATCAATGGCTCTACCCCCGAATTGAATGGTGTTGGAAGAAGGGGAAGAGGAAGAGGAAGAGGATGAGGCTTGATCCATGCTAAGACATATGGCTGTTGAAGCCTGTGATGCACAGAATATTTCTGTGTTTTTCATCTCCGGATGATGATGGTGGTTTAGAGAATCTGCAGGGCACAGAAAGGGAGAGATAAAGAAGGAAGTTGAGGCAGAAGGAAGGTTGGTACTGACTGCTTTAAAAGCTTCAATTCTGTGGGGTTGAGGGGTTAGGGATTGAGATAGGGAGAGAAAGACATAGGACTGAAATGGGAAATTGAAAAACTAATGATTTTCTTTGTTTGATATATGGAAATGGAATTAATTATAGTGGGAAGGAAATGTTTCAACTTTCGCAAGACTAGCATGAGTTTGGATCTTTGTTCTAATAGTGCACCACCTAAGTCAATTGCTCGTACATTCGGATTGATGTAGGGACATGATCCACATTATAAGTGTGTTCATGTAATTGTCAATGGTTTTAGCATGGCAAGAGTAACGTGACACGGGCATTAGAATCAAACATTAAAAAAAGTATTCAATACAAATTTGTATGTCCTGAACGGGATATATATCCTTATTGTTGTTTTTCCGTTCTATTAAAAGGGTGGAGGTGGATGGTGGAATTGCATCAATTTGGCGAAAAGATATAGCAAAACAGAGTGATCTTTATGAGAAGTAACCGACCTTTCTATTGATTTAAAGAATGAAAATGATGTATAGTATGTACACTAATTTGCCATATCTCCTTGTTAGTTTCCATTATGTGAAAGAAAAGAAAAAACCATCAAACCAAATGGTGGTACATCAAGTTGGCGCATGAGAGCTAAGCAAGTGGGGATGAGAACATGTGTTCGAATCTCCCCAATATCACTTTTGGGAGGGAAATATCTATGGTACTACTGCTGTACCATTAACTCAGTACATCTATTCAATAAAAAATGAGGAATGACTGTCATCTTGTATCGAAAGAAGAGAAAAATATTTTTTTTATCCAAGTGTCACTTGTTGAATGACAGATGTACCTATTACAGATGTACAGAAGATGATCTCCTTTGGGAGGGATTTAAAGCCTTAATCCTAGACTCGCCCCGAATCGGATTAGTTGCGAAGCAATGAACTGATTGAAATATTTCAAAAAAAAAAAGAAAAAACCGTCATATTCACTAGTAACACTCTAGGTAAACCTATTTATTTATTTGGTAAACGGTAAACCTATTTATTTTACTTACGGTTAACAGGGCTACTGTATTATTGTGTTCCTTCTCAATTTCTGAGAGCAAGAGATAAGTGAAACAATTTAATCAGATAACTGATAGCTTTGGATCCCTTTTTTTTCTCACTATTTCTTAAGATTATATGCATATAAATTGCATGACATGGTACTTTTTAATCTTTTTTCACGGGTGTCTAAATGTTTGTGATTATTATTGCTCACATAGTCATAATAATAATATATGATAATCATTTCTTATAGTAATCATTTTGTGCAGAGTGCAACATATGTACGCGGGAGCAGACATGTTTTGCATTGGCGTGAAGTTCCAGCGACATGAATTTCCATTTAAAGTGCTGGATATAAAAAATTGCCGGCACAAATAACTAAAGCACTGTGAATTTGGGTATGCTCTGTTGCCCTGCTGGCTTGTTGGGCATGCCCTACAGGGTCAGTACTTACCAAGCACTTGACCACAAGCTGTCCTGAAAACCTTTTTAGAACAATGAAAACTTGGTCAGATGAAAAAGTGCAACCCTGAACACTTGCAGCAGTTTCATGCGCTAAGTTCATTCACATGACAATTTGTGATTAATAAAGATATTAATAGTACATACCAATTGGCAAAGAAGATCATTAAGGAAACTCAGCACCAATTTCCAGTTTTCTCAAAATTTAATATATTTATGACCATTGAAGTTCATAATGTTGCTTTCTTTAGGAGACTTAATTAAACTGAAAATTGTGTAGTTTGTTGTTACGGTTGATTTAGCTAGATGGGGCAGCAAACCAAATTTTGTGTTTTCATAAGGTGAAATCTTGAGAAAGGACAAGGAAACTAGAAAAGCATCAAACTTGCATAAAAACTTGATGGTGGTGGCACATGGATTGTGCAACTTGAACACAATAAAGGCCTTCTAGAGGAGAATCAAAGCACAACATTATTAAGATTCTAATGGAACAAATTCTGCCACTTAGTTAACCATTTCGAATTTTGCTTTGCCGTGGATGGACAAGCAAAGCCACTTTCTTTCTCTCTTCCGTAATGGTTTACTTCACAAATCCATGGAATCAGATGCCTCCAAGGCCTTCTTCCTCCTCTTTTTCCCCTTACTTTACCTGCTGTCGCATCTTCAATGGATAGCCAATTTCCTATACCTTCCACTGAAAATTCTCTCTTTCTTTTCACCCTTTATACCAGTTTCTCTTAAATTTTCCGAGAGCTTTTAGAGGTAGGCATAATCTTTTAACTTTTATTTTTTTAGTTACGATATTCACAACCAAGTACGAGGATGGACACGATAAGCTAGTGGAGGCAAAACTGTAATGGTAGAATTAACTCAAAATCTAAATCAAGAAAATAAGGGGTCAGCTGAGGTCAAACTTATGAGTTATTCGAATTTGAACTTGTCAAATTAAAGCTTACAGGGGAAAAAAAAAATTAATAATAAAAAATTGAAATAACATCAAATTTTAATTGATCACTTATTACCAAAAAAAAAACAAGACTTAACTACATAGGTCGAATACAGGAAAAGATAATTTTTGAGAGAATGATCACATTAGTAACTAGTTGCGACATAAGGTTAGTGTCAAGATAAAAATGTACACTATGGTGCTATAGAGCTATAGTTGTGTGTACAGTTAGGGAAGGATCTATAGTATATAACCTTTATTTTGCATTGATTTCGTTAATTTAGCATTGTGACTTTAGGAATTAGTATCATAATACTCAGCTCAAAAATTATATATATACATAGTTATTTTATATTCGTATAAGTTATATTTTTAATATTGGTTAATGATCTTACTTATGTCCGATAATTTTAATTTATTAATTATGTGAGTCATTGAATATAAGTAAACTAAAAAGAGAAAAAAATGAAGATAAGACTTCTTATTTTTATATCAATGTAAAAATAATCCGTTCTAATGCCCCACTATATATATATACAAAATATCTTAATTATAAATATCTACTTTCACAAAAATAGTTACATACTACGAAAATAACATTTCAACAGTTTATTTTTAAGTAAATCTTGTATATAATATTTTAATTTAATTCAATGATATCTATGATTGTGTTATGTTATATGTTATGTGGGCTTTATTAATCTCATGTGACATAAGAGAAGCTCTCTTATGTCATAGAGATAGTTATGAGTGAGATCCACTCACCTAAAGAAAAAAAAAATAACACGGAAGTCGATGTATGTGTAGGAGAGAAAAATACTCTCCTACAGCATAAGATAATATTTTCCCATGTTATGTTTTTAATGAATTAGTTATTACATAAATTGTTTTCCTAATATAAATGATTGAATATAAAAAATAAAGGAGAACTCCACTCTTATTACAGGTCTGTCACCTGACCTCTTAATAATGCTTTTGCTTCAATCGTACAGGAAGAGGCATTTCGTGTGTGTGGTGTGTGTGTGCGGGTACAAAAGAGAATGTCATAATTTATGTTCATTACTACTCACATCAGATTTCTGTTATGGAGAATATCATATCTGTTGCCATTTTTCAGTCACAATTGTTTAAGGTGCCACAAATTAATGGAGTGACACTCTGGTATTAAAAGAAGCAAAATTTCAAGAATAAAAATGTAGAACAAATTGTTTGATTTACAATGGCTAAAGGAAACCCATTCCACAAGAAATTGTACTCATCAATTTCAATTAAAATCACACGCACCGAAACGAAAATGAAACTAAAAAGATAAGAAGATTTCAAGATAAGAAATCTTGTTTAAGGGGTCAGTGGCACTAAATCTATAAATCGGCACATCCCGATCCATTTCTTTTTTTAATACAATGATGATAATAAATTTATGACCAAAAAATCCCTCATTATTTGACCAATCACAGTGGCTTGTCCCGATCCGTTTCTACCCGGTACCGGATTTTGAAAATGTATACACACCAATGTTGTGAATATTGAGTTTCTGAGAAGAAATGAAATGAGTGGTAGAAATCTAAATAGTAAAAATGATATGAAATATAAAAATTTTACTACTTAAAGTTAAGATATAAAATTCTATATATATGCATATGAAAGAAATTATACAAGTTAGTACTCAAAATTTAATGAATAACTTCATGTTTAAAAGATATAAGTAAGATAATTTATATAAGACATAAGTCTAAAAATACAAAACGAGAAAATTGAGTTAAAAAGAAAAAGAAAAAGAAAAATAGGGTTTTTAAAAAATAAAATAAAATAATTGAGTTCAAGTAAGAACTCTTCTATTGTTTTTTATGTTTCTATGCCGCGTTTCTATCCGTTTTTACTAAAGATCATTTTTACTTGAGGTTTTATACTGTGTTTCTACGTTTTTAGACTAATTTTTGATAATAATGATGGGATCAAAGCCTGATCATGGAGATAAAAATCATAGTAGTTACCACTAAGCCATATTAGGAGATTGTTAGTTAATTTGCACCATTTAAAATATTTATTATATAATTGAGTATAAAATTAAATTTATATACATATCTAATTCATGTGGTTCAAACCAGTGATCCATTAATTAAATCAATAATCCACTAATTCGATATCCCCACTGAGTCAATCACGGATGCCATTTTAATAACATTGCTAAATATAATAAAGGTTTATTTTTTCTAAAGTTACTTTAGATAACTTTATTTAATGTTCATCGAAACGACGTCGTTTTGGGACAGAAATTATGGTGTTTTTGTAATTTTAATTTATTTCAGGGTTATAATAGTCTTTATCATTTTAATTTTTAATTTTTCAACTCCAAAACGATATCGTTTCGATGAACATTAGACAAAATTATCTAAAGTAACCTTAGATATTTTTTCCCATATAATAATGGATTAAACGGTCAGTTTTGACACACTAATTATAAGCATCATTTGAAAACTGAAAAGTCTCTTTTGGAAGTCAGCGTGAAAATGAGAGCGACCTTTATGAAATCAGGGGGAAGACAGTTTGCGCACTATCACGCGATACTGACCATGCTATAATAGTATAATGAACGATGATTATTTATTTCTGGAATGAGTTTCACTTTACATTATAAATAAGTATTTAATATTTCTGTAATGTTAACACTTTAGTATTTTCGAATTTGTATCCAATCAAAAGCGTGCAGGATGCTGACCTTCTACACACCATCCTTCGTGTGTACGTTAGCTTTCTCCATTTCTATATACATAAAGAAGACATATTATATAGATTATGATAATTATCATGTTAATTTTACGTTTCTTGACACTGGTTAATGAATTATTTACTACCACCAATATAAAATAATATACCAAGCGTTAACTCAACAATTGAGAACAGGATTTTAATGAAGTAAACTAGCTATGAGCACTGGCCGACCCAGATTGGGGCACGTATCTGCAAGTGCGGACATAAAACTGGTGATTTTAGTTTTTTTTTTTTTTTTTCTTTGTTAAAGGTTCTTATTTGTTTCTTTTTTCAATATATATATTAGGAGACCCACATTAGTCGCTCAAAATGATTAAAATATGTTCACTTTGAATTTCATAGGGACCAGGTCACTAATTTTTTTTTGTAAGGGACTAAAGTGTATACCAAAATTTTTGTTAGGGACCAAAAAGAGTATTTACTCTTATATTAGTTAGCAACGTACAGAGATGATTAAAACAACATAGCAACGCAAATTGATTAGAGAGAAAACTTATTCTTCTTCCCCTGTCACGTATCCATTCACATACTTTCTTCATCTTTTGTTTCCTTTTTCATTTTTCTAAAAAGAGAGGATTGATTGCAGGTCTGACATTCTCAAATAAGTTAATCTCTAGAGACGAGGCCTTCAATGTGATTTCGCTTGCCTTTTGTACAGGTAGTGTTGACTTTTTTATTCACCACTATAAAATAGAATGATGAGGTATAGATATACTGGAGTATATTCTAATATTTGTTTTGAAGGATTGGTAAGATTTAGGAAGAGAATGATTGGTCAAATTATTGCTTTCAGTTTGTTATGGAAGCAAACTAGATTATGAGCGAGTTCATAACCTGTACATAAAGCGTTAATTTAAACTGTCTTTACAAAAAAAAATTCAAGGGCACCCCACCACTAAACGAGTGAACATTAAAAAAAAATTCAAGATCCACCACCGCATATGAGTTTGAATTTGGAAATGCTGCCTTCCCCAAATTAATTCAGTTCCTACTTCTTACCCACTCGATTGGCAAGAATGGGCTATTGGGTTAGATTCCCACCACCTCCATGTATCCTTCCCCTTACGTCTGAAATGAGGTTTGAATAATGGGGATAAAAAATGAAATAATAAAAAAGAGCAGATAAATCTTCAATGAAATAATAATTAACCTCAATTACTCCAGAAAATGGCTTATGACATACAAATCAGATACCACATCAACAACCCGTAATATGCAACAAATCCTAGTAATTCATTGCATCACAACTACACAATTTTGTACAGAAAATTTTGCATTCTCTTGATACCAAAATCAATAGTATACTACGACTTTTAACCAATACAATAGACAAGAAAACAGCTGAAAAGAATTTGTCAAAATTTATCAAATCACAATTTTGTGCTGAGATGTTAACAGACTGACGTGTTACCAGAACTCTGTTGATGTTTACCGTGTATGATCAAAAAAACAATGAAGGGGTCTCCCTTCTCCATATGCAGAAAGGGTTTGCAACTGTTTCTTATTTCATTCCTTTTCCTTCATCTTCATTCAAAATCCGATTCCGGAAATCACTAATCATAAGAGGCAATCCTTCTCTTAGTGAGACTTTTGGCTCCCAGTTCAGCAATTCCTTTGCTTTGCTAATATCTGGCTTCCTCATATGTGGATCATCAGCAGTATTTGGTTTGTATTCTATAGTAGCACTTGAATCAATTGTTTCTTTGACAACCTGCATATACATGAAAAGATGAAGAGAAGATGCCCATAAAATAATAATTTTGACACAGTCCACTCTCTGGACCCCAAAATTTATTACAGAAGTGTGTCCCTACTGCTGAAGTGCACAGTTAATATGCTATACGTAAGGCTATTGATTAAGATATCAACAAAACAAGCATGTCACAGCATGATCTGACTGAAGCCTTGTAAGGAAAAATCATAACTGAAAACCAAAAGATATAAGAAAACAAAGTGATAGACTTGGAAAGAAAAGATACCTGAGCAAGCTCTAACATGGTAAACTCTCCTGGGTTACCGAGGTTGAAAGGTCCCACATGTTCACCATCCATCAAAGCTACCAGCCCATTAACCTGTGAAATTGAATTTAAGTTCACCATTGCATTCTTACAATGCTGCACAGATTCTCACAAAAATGTGGAGACCACAAATGATTCTTTCACTTGAACCTATTAAAGTCAAAATCTTTCTTTTAAAAAATATGCAATCTTTCAGATTTTCCAGTCTTTCAGCAAACAATAAACTTCTGCTATGTTGATGAGCTTTAGATGATTTCTCTTAATCCCACAGGGAGAAGCAAAACATGTTATATGCCGTACATAATTATAGCACAAGGAAAAGATTCAGGGAGATGTGAAGATAGATAACCAAAAATAGTTATATTTGCTATACCAAATCAGATACGTATTGGAAGCTTCTTGTTTGCTTCCCATCACCATATACAGTCAATGGTTGTTTGCGAATAGCCTGTGAATCAACATCAAAATACAGAAAAAAGAAAAGAAAAAAAGAATACAAAACCCTCTCAGAAAAACATTAAAGAGAAATAAGAAAAGAAAGGGAGTCAAACCTGTGCAACAAAATTGCTAACAACACGCCCGTCATCTAAACACATGCGGGGCCCATATGTGTTGAAAATTCGAGCAATACGAACCTATAAACCAGCAAGACTCAGATCAGTCTAAAGTCTCAACAGTAACATTTAGTTTGCAGAAGTTACCGCAACCAGTCTAAGATCCTCTAATTTTGGATATTCATTAATTTTGCTCCGTATGAAGAATTTTGGAAACATATAACCATGCATTTGAAATTAAGTTATTCAAATCCTACGCATGCAATACCAGCAATCAATTAGGCTGAAAAAGAAAAGGATTATCGAAGTCTTTTGGGGTACTAATATGTGCTTGCTTTTATGCTATTTTTGAGAGAATTGTCTTCGAAATTGATAACATTGTAGCTACTCTGAACAGCAAAGACCAAATTCTCGTGTTTGGTCAATTAGAAATCCAACATTAGCAAAGCGAAAGACTCAATGACTAACTTGTGTCCTAGATAACAAATAATTGTTCCTTTTCCACAGCAATTGATGTTATTTCCAGCATGGCAAACAATATCAGTGTTTGATCCTCCCAATTAAGTTCTCAACAAAGGGGGGAAAAGATGCCAATCTGTTTACTCATTTATTGGAGATAACACAAATGTAGGAACTTTGATTTATTAAAATATTTGGGGTGAATATCCAGTCCACAAGCTAATTTCTCTAACAATGATAAACAGAATTTTGGTTAACTCACCCTGAATGAATGAGTTAAGTACGCTATTTCTTTATGTGAAATTGTAATCAACCAAACAGTCAATTAGAATGCTTTAGGGTTCAGCCACATATAGATGTGTCCATGCTTAACAATGGCTGGTGAGAGTGGTTAGATCACTCTTTGACTACAATGGATACATTGGTTCCAGTTATGTTAAGTAAATCCCGAGGGAAGACCAAGTTTGTAAGCACAAAGTGTCAAAGACAACTTCATGCTTCAATTTCCTAAGGTAATTAATAATCTGGAAAGACTAAGGATAGTTTAATGAGATGATAAGTAAATAACTGGTAAGTTTTACGAGCTAATAGTGAGCCAGAGCAAGAAAAATTACATGCAGTAATGTATGCATGGTTTCAAGCTAAAACAAGGCGTACAAAGCAGGATGGAAACAAACTACCAAGTGTGTATCGGAATGGTATATTGCAACAATACACAAACTTTTTAGCCAACAAGGTAGACATTACAGTAGCTATGATCAATTAAATATATAACTAATAAGCTACCTCAACGCCAGCACCTCGATGATAATCCATGGTTAAGGTTTCTGCAGTCCGCTTTCCTTCATCATAACAACTCCTCTCACCTACAACTCGGAAGTATATGTTCAACATACCAAACCAACACCCATCCTTCATAATCACATTTCATAACTAAGTAGGTCACAAGTCACAACACAAGTTCAATACTTAGCAAACTCAAACTCACCTATTGGATTGACATTCCCCCAGTAGGTCTCTTTCTGGGGATGCTCCAGCGGATCCCCATAAACCTCACTGGTACTAGTAAGCAGAAACCTAGCCCCAATCCTCTTTGCAAGGCCCAACAGGTTAAGGGTACCCATCACATTGGTCTTGTAAGCCCCACACACACACACACACACACAAAACACAGTTAAGGATCCCAAAACAATCTAATAACATGACATTCAATTAGAAACTAATCCTTTGTACTCACTGCAATTCCAATTGCAATTAGAAAGAAACAAGGATATAATGGTCTTAACGGGATTGTACTTGTAATGCACGGGTGAGGCAGGGCAAGCGAGGTGATAAATCTGATCCACCTCTAACAGGATAGGATCCACCACATCGTGACGAATAAGCTCGAACCTCGGGTTCCCAAACAAGTGCACCAGGTTCTCCTTCCTCCCAGTGAAGAAATTATCAATCACAATCACGTCGTTCCCTCTGGCAATGAGCTTGTCCACGAGGTGGCTCCCAACGAAACCGGCTCCGCCGGTAACCACGATCCTGAGGCGGCGGCCGTTGATTCCGACTGGGACCCTGCCCGATACGACGTCGTGGGAGGGGAAAGTGGCAGATCCGGATAGTAAGGGACGGGGCTCCGGAGAAGTGAGGGCGGGTTGGATAATGAAGAATGATGACCCGATCAAGATGCCGACTAAGATGAACAAAAGCCTCCGCTCTCGCAAAAGGTAGTTAATGGATCTTGGGTGCTTTGGTGCTTTGGGTGAATAAGGTGGCGATTGTGATTGTGCACTCGCCATCTCTTCATCGCGTCTGTGACTTAAGCCCGTTTGCTTGTGTACCTGTTTCATGCCTTCAGAAGCTGACAATGTTCCTTGTTGTTGATTGTTGAGTGTTTGTTACAAGTTCGTAGCGAATAAGAAACCCGCCATTATCATGGCTATTCCAAACTCGTAACATTCACTTCAACGTGCATTCTCTCTCTCTCTCTCTCTCCCTCTTCCAGCTCGCCTTAGATACATAAACATCAACATCACAGGGATTATGGAGTTCTCCAACTATGGTTCATTTTATATTCAAATACACTGTCACTCACTTAACTCTTCCTTTCCTTTACCGCAACACCATGATTTGAAAGGTTTGATAACGATATTAACAACAACAACAAAGAAATAAGTAAGAATAAATAAATATTTAAAAGGTGAAAAAAAATTAGAAAGGAATTCAAAGAGAACTAAATAGTTTGAATTTTGTTGGATATAATATTATTATGAATTTAAAAAGGGAAAAATATTTATCCTTTATTTTGTATGATAATGATATTTATCCTTTTAAATGACACAACTTATATTCTTTCACTGTCACATAGAGGTGGAAGTCACATCTTTATTTTTTTTGTGAACTCTCTCTTCCTTTATCTATTTATTTCTATCTCTTAACATGACACAACTTTACATCCTTTAAAATGACAGACACTTTTTCCTTCTAATAATTTGTTGTCTAACATGTTTTTATAATGTCTCTCACTCATCGACTTTGTTTTTATAAAGATTAAGAAATATTCTCATATCCTCTGATATTGAATTAATCTCTATTTGAACATTAGTACGGGGAATGATTTAGGTGAGGATGGGCTCATTTTTAAGGCATCAATTTTCGTTCCCAATTTTGGAATGGCACCATTATTCCATGCCTTATTTACATCATAACCGCATTGCAATTCTTTTGAGAGCATGCTTGAATGGGGTAATTTCCACGTGTTCTATAGGAAAAGCGAATGACTTAGATTTGCACTCTTAGTCATTGTTTGTTTCATTGCGTGATTAGAGTCCTGTGACTAAGGATGAATTGAGAAACAGTATCCAAAGTTTTCAATGGTATACTTATAGTTCTAAAGCTGGAAACAGAAGGATCTAGGGCCTCTACATTGTTTTGGCATATCACGGCATTGCCTTTGACATCTAGGCAAGCTTAAGACAAAGAGGTTGTAGAAATGCATTGACTCAGGGATATAGCAAAACTTCCCCGACAGCTTGCTATCAATGTTGTGGACTTTCTATAAAGGACTTGTTTGGTGTGTACAGATATAAAATTAATAGTATAAGATTTGATAGAATAAAATCTGATTATATAAGATTTGATTAAATTTCAATAATATCCAACGTTTGATATAATATAGTATAATATAATGGATTATATAAAATAATATTATTTAGTGTTTGGTAATACACTGTATAATATTATATAGGATAAAAACAAATATTTTCGACAAAAATATCCTTTAATAAAATTTTATATAATTCTTCCAAATATTTCATATGATATTAATTTTAAATGTCATATTAAATCAATTAAATATATGACCAACAAAAAAAAATCTAAAATGAACCTTTTCAGAAATCACATAACAGCTGAGGGTTAAAGGTGAACACCATGAACACCTGCATTTCCCTTTTTCCAAATACAACTCATCTTTTTCACCTGCAGAAAAATCAACCTAATGACAACTGAAAAGGATAGATTCCTAAGTTGGTTATAGATCACCCCATCTGCAGACTCTAAAACATATGTCCGGCCTTTATATGTTCAAATTAAAGGTTCTGATTACATTGAGCAACCACATCAAACCCATTAACAAACTATCTACTGAACCACAGAACCAAAATATCCATGTTAACATAATCACTAAACAATCCATGGACTAAAAAGAGACATGCAACAACATAAATTAAGCCTTGGGAAAAGTAACAATAATGCTTAGCAAGCAGAAAGTATATTATATTCAAACTGAAACCCCAATTCCATATGCATATATGAATATATACAGGTTTTTCCCAATTTGTACAGAATATTGATGCTCTGCAATTTCATGCTTGGAAATTGTGGATAAAAATTGATTACTGTTTTTAAAAACAGTTTTTTGGTTTTTCAGAACAAAAAAACAAAAAAATTCGTTTAGTAAGGCCTGTTTTGTAAAAAAAGTTTTAAAAACAATAACTATTTTTTTGTTTTTAGAATCAAATGTAGAGAACATGTCTGAGTTGTTTTTGTTTTCTGTTTTGGTTTTTAACTTTCAAAACAAAAAAAACATAGAAAACAACTGTTTTCATAATTATTCTACAAAACAGTTTTAAGAACAAAAAAACCAAAACACAATCAAACAGACTCTAAAATTCTCCTCAGAAAAGGGACAAAAAACTCGAAAAAAAGGTTTCTTTTTTCTTTTTTTAAGCAACCATTCATAAACTGTCAATTTTATTTTTACTTTTATTTTTACTTTTGGTTTCATGCGTCCATTGAGATTACTTAGGTTTTAGTTTCAGTTTTATCTTGGGACGTAGAAATTTCAACGAAATGTTCGCAGGTAATGTAAAAAACCTTGGGATACACCACCCCAAAAGCTAACTCAAAGGGTGGAAGTGCCCAAGGTCTTATAAACTCCACATTAGTTGCTCATATAATCAATGTGGGACTATATATCTCAACACGTCCCCTCACGCAAGAGCCCTTTGGGCTTGAAGCGTTGATATTGCACAGGCCCAAATTTTGGTTTACTTTTTGTGCTTTTTATTTTTAATTTCACTTTAAAGTGGGGGCGGTGAGGATTGAACTTGTGACCTTGTAGTCACTCAAGCTCTGTTACCATGTAAAGAACCTTGGGATACACTACCCCTAAAGCTAGCTCAAAGGGTAGGAGTGCCCAAGACCTTATAAACTCCACATTAGTTGCTCATATAACCAATGTGGGACTATATATCTCAACAGGTAATGTGGTAGTGAATGACATCGCCTAGGATTCGGAAACTGAGAATGAAATTAGAGAAGGACCTGATTGATGTGGTTCTGAGGTGAACCAGAAGCCATGGTCAAAAGGGTGGATTTGGGTTCAGAGCCAAAACAGTAAGGTCCTCCTTCTTCACTGTGCATTAGCCATGAGAATCATGTATACGATGTCGTACATAATAGAATCGAATTGGGCATGAAAATAGAAAGGGGTGAAATGATCAAAACCGGCAGGGGTTTCATGAAAAGAGGACCTAATGTAGTTGAGGAATGAGAGGGTTTGGGATTTGAGAGTAAGTGACCGAAGATGGCGAAGTAGATGAAAGTAGGGTCGATGAGGAAGGTTAGGTGCAGTGTGTAACGCCTGGCCGCTTCCTTCAAGAATCAATGACTATCTCCACACATTAATACGAGGCTTTTCAGTGTGCTTTGTCCTCACTCGAACACTTTTCCAGGCGGTCATCCATCCCAGAATTATTACAAGTCAAGCGGGCTTAACTATGGAGTTCTTCCGTTCCAGGCTACCGAAAAGTAGATGCATGTTGTTAGTATAGATAGTACCAATTAATTCTTATAAGTTATCATCAACTGTACAGTCCTATACTAGCACATTCTCTGGAATCCCTCTCTTTCGGATGTTGATTCGATTCATTCATGTACCTCCGTCGCTGAAAGCCTGTCAGGCGCTTCTCCTTGTTTGTGCTCTTGCGCACCATGCCCTTGCGCACCAGCGATCACTCCCCGCCCTTATCAGCACCCGGTATGTTACACGGTGTAGACAGTGTATGTATACAGGGAAGAAAGGGGAATAAGAAGAAAAATATGGCAGGGGATTAACCTAATACATTGATCTCTTATCATGTCTAATCTCGCCCCCTTAGATTTTATTAAGTTATGCATCATTTTAATATATTAAGGAATCATGTTATATAAGTTTATACTATACAATGGTCACACCAAACAACTAAAATTGGTATAATATATAGTATAAGCTTATATTATCAGGCCCTATACATTATGGTATAACCTGATTAAGTTACGTCAATTAAGGTGGTGGCTGGTTAATGGTGGTGGGGACTAGTGACAAATATGGGGTTGATCGGTGGTGGTGATTAATGGTGGGGGGTAGTTGGGGTAATTGTAGCCGGTGGAGATGGTGGTGGCTGGTAACTCATGGTGATGGCTGCTGGTGGTGGTAATGGGTGGTAGAGGTGGCTAATGGTCAGCAACGGTGGTAGTGGAGGCTAGTCGGTAGTAAGGGTTGACCCCTACGTGCCCAACAATGTTTGTAAGGGAAGAGAGTTGGGCTATATTTGGGATGAGAGAGATGTGATATTTGTTATCTTATCTTGTCCATTCATAACCTGAGTCTCCTTTTAGGATAGCTTATCCTAATGCGAACATGATAAAATGAGCCAACATGATAAGTTTATTATATCATATTGGTTTACCAAATAATGGATAAGAGCAAGATATGATAACTTATCATATCCTATCCTCCTTATCTTGTCCATCAAACAGACCCTTAATGTATAATTGTAAGTGAGTTATAGTGACACAAGTAAACGAAGATTGTTAAAAGAGGTGGTTAAATTATATATTGACATGAAAGATAAATGATATATGATTTATTTTTTGGGTTTAAAGTTTGACATTGTAAGAGATAAAACTATTTCTTAAATATATAAAAATATGTGGAACATGTGAGAAAAAGAGAAAAAAAAATATGACCTAAACATGGAAAAACATCATTTTTATTTCTAAGAAGTAGGAAGACATGTCTTTGCAGTTTGCACATTTGGAGTGATGTGTCTGAGCATTACAAACCTAAAAGGATCAAAAAATTTGTGGAGAGAATTTTTGTACCGACCAATTCTATATAATGTATCCTTACTAAGGTCTTCATCTCGTTCCCTCCATTTCCCTCTCTATTTCTATAAGCTAATAAGATAAAATAAAATAAAATATTGGTATCGGCAAAAAGTCATTTTCTTTAGTCATTTTTAAAGAATTCGTAAAAAGTGAGTGTCTGCTCTTTGATCAAATTAGCAGTCACAAGATCACTTTC